TTATTTGTATTACAAAGTCGCAAAATTTAAGGGGTCACTCAGATATTTAACCACCGACATGTGCTACCCTTACTGACACAGTCGAAAAAAAGTTCTGTTTCATATTTATGTGTTTCATTTAATATTTAACCAAGAGAAGGACAAAACAATATATATATAATTATATTAAAAATAAAACAGTAAGTGTAAGCCTCTGCTCTGCGACTTTGGTTCGGTCTGTAAAAGCGATTTCGAAGCGTAAGAACCTAAGGGGAAGATAAACAGCACGTGCATGGATTTTAAAAGAAACAAACCCGAATAGGGCACAGAAGGCGGCGAACAGAGGTCGAAAAGCAAACATTTTGAAAGAATCTCGTCGCGGTGATAAGGCCGAGGCTTGATTTCAAAACGATAACGTTGCGATATTTTTTCTCACTCCCATTGGCCGGGAAGCGAAAACCCGCGGAAGAAACGGAAAAGAGGCTTAGGATTCTAGAAGAAAAAACGCGAAACGTTACCATTTTATATATTGAGAAAGAAGAAGAAAGATATACCCAATAGAGTTATATGGCCGTTTATTATTCTTATTATATATTAATATATGTATCATAATATTGTATCGAAACGATAAATCGGTCGTGAATTGAAGGAATAATGGACATTTGAAGCATGCGGGCTCGAGCGATGAAAAAAATTGAAGTCTCTCCCGCCGTTCCCACGTGTTACGACTTACGAATGTTACGATACAACAGTGACGTTCGTCTGTGTATTGTGTGTACCAAACATGTTATATTATAATTTATAATGTAATTTATATTATGCCGAGTACAACTGCATTTACATAACAATAATATTATAATTATTATACGATTTATACGCAGATAAGCTGCCATTGTGATTTGTAATGTTTATTTCGAATTTATTATAACAATAAATATTATCTCAATATACACAGCCACACGAGTCACAGACGTTATCCATTCAGTAATACACTATTTTCCTTCGATCTCAGATTTTTTAATCTTGAGTTTGGCATCTCACTAGATATCCTCTCCTCCCTCCAACCACGTTATCGGTGTCGTCGATGAGTATTGAAAACATTTCTACAAATGTAATTCTGTATATATTATAATAATCATTGTGTATTGACGTATTGTAACTGATAGTGCAAGTGATATTGTTTTTAAATGAAAAAATGTAAAACATTTTTGACTGTTTCTTTTTGTATAATTCTCTTTAAGTCGTACAAGCATAACATTATTCTAAAGAGAAGAAACTATATCGATTTAAATACTACATTATTTCTACAAAATTAGTAATTACACTTCAAAGGGTAGGTATATGAGCAGGCATGTCAAACTTTGGTATTGATTTCTTCAAATATATTGAATAATTTTGTATGCGGGTCGCACATAATAATGTACCGAAAAAAATATTTTATGCAAATGTTTAATTTCATCTATTACTTGTATTTACAATACTATACAATAGTTATTCAATTACAGTTTATTAGAAGATAAGACAGAAAAGTAACAGAATTACGTCATAACGTGTATAAAAATATTTTATGCAAATTTTTAATTTCATCTATTACTTTTATTTACAATACTATATGCAGTAGCTATTCAATAAAAGTGTATTAGAGTATAAGACAGAAAAGTGACACAAATATTGTATTTGAAATACATAATGTGTACCTCTCACTAACATGGTTGTGAAACGAAAGGAAAATTGTAAAATATTTTGTATCAATATTTTTTTTTCAATTACTTGTTTATTAAAATTTCTGTTTGAGGACCATAAAAAAATGAGCAGAGAACCACCTGTTTGACAAAGTTAAAAAGAGTAACTACAGGGCTACATAGTTAACACAGGCACATGCATGTGATATAGAGATAATATTATATAAAACACAAAAGTTAAAAATAATATTTCCATTATTCTGCGCACCACACATTTTCACTGCGAGCAATCATTAATATCATAGACGGGATTTCTAGTTATTAAAATGAGATTAGTTTTAAATTCAGATTTAGATCACAGTATAAAATGCGATGCATGTAGGACGTATAGCCTAATCTACAGGATATAACAGTATAATACCGAACATTCAGTATGAATTTATATGTCACATTGTAGACTGTAGACTGTAGTATATTGATTTAGTAGCCGATAGGTTAGGTTAGGCTCGCTGTTTTTACAAAATAACTATTGCACCTAATCAATTTGAACTAAACGAGCCCAACCACTGACCAGAGTGCATTCGAAAGAAAAACAATAATCTGAGGTCTGGAGTGGAACTAAGTTCACAATAATAATATGTGCATACTGTATGGAGTTTAAATTATAATAATTGGTTATTAAAGTTTCAACAATTTAAGTTATTCAAAGATCCAACACTTTAAAAGTGTAATGGATTTTCTATTATAGTATGAATACATGAATAATTGTATGTTGCCAGGGGCTTGTTTAGAGAGGCTCTGGGAACTATTTACTTAGATCTTTTTACGTTTTTAACTGAAAATATAGGTGAAAATAAAAACAATAAAATAATATGCGTAAAGGAACTTGATAACCAAGTACAAGTTTAATCCGTAAATCACAACAATGTTTTCAGTTAATTACAATAAGCATTTTTTTGTAATTTAAAGAACCTAAAGACTATAATTTAACGTCGTCTTTTGCGACTCGTTGATGAGGACTACCGTTTTGTTCAGCATCATAAATTGACAAATAGTTATTTTAATTTTTAAGTAATTGGCTAAATAAGTTAAATTGATTTCTATTTAATTATGCGCCTATTTTTGTTTCGCCTGAATAGTTAATTGAAACAAATGGACATACCAATATCAAATACATAATATTACAAGTCGATACGTTTTTAAGGAGTTCAGAGTAGGCAATATTTTAAGAGTATAAGAGTAGGCATACTCGTACGTGTCCTGTGAATTGTGAATCGTGAAAGTGTGAGTATCCATTGACCATTAATGTGTTTGAAACACTGAGTGTACTCATAATATGTCAACAACACGAATAATATCAATTTTTTTTTGGTCTAAATGTATATATCTATTCTGTAATGTAAACGTATGTTGAAATTGTTTTGCCAATTGTATTGAGTATTGATTAACATAGATATCCATCCAATATTTCTATAACCGAATTTAAATTCACCCTGAATTTATGATGAATTAAATTTATATTTTTATCTAATTACTTACCACGACAACGGACAGTCGACACAATAAAATTAGCAGAATATATATGTTTCAGTAGAAAATTTGGATCAAATCCATAACTGACTAAAATGTACTGAACGATTTAGACTGTATGGTACTTAATTACTAACATTGACTATAATATTTATAAAGAGTATTGTGTATCTTTTTATTAAATCATGTACAATAGTAATTGTTTTTAGAAAACAATGTTATAAAAATATATATAATGTTTATGCAAAAAAAATTATACCGTAAGAACTAAAAATCACCAATTATTGTTGTCATATTGTATATAATATATTACATTAATAAAAAACTTTTAACTAAAAATATTGAAATGCAAACTTAACACTGTTAACACAGACATTTTTTAAAATCAATATTTACTTCTAGACACTTTATTATAATTATGAAATTTGTTAGAAATGTTTATTTATGTTCTAACTATTTTTTAATTGTCCATTGATACAAAATTGTCTTGAACTAATGTTTGACAATTTCAGTTTATCACAAATTATTTTTACATCATAAATAAGTCTAAGAACAACTATACTTTGTTATAAAATAAAATGTTCACTGAGATAGATGAGATGTTTAATCTGTCAAATTTAAAATTTTTTTTTTAAAATTTGTATGCATTTATCTTGAGTAAAAATGTGGTATTTTAATGTTTGTTGCTTAGGCTAGGTTATTTCATGTAAAAAAATTAATTCTCTAACAATAAATAACAGCTATTACCTAGGTATAATTTAAATAATCAATGAGCTTCAAAATCATTATATTGATTAAAATAGTTTAACATCCATAATTTGTAAAGTAAAAAAAGACTCAATAACCATTGAAACACACAGCCCATTTATAATAGATCAATAGGTACAAGATCAGTTATGAATTATAGTACAAAAATCATCATTAACAGTGTACTCCAGTCTCTTAATTTCGCCAGTAGCTTTATAGTTTTTAATTTAAAACAGATTAATTATTATTCATAACACATAAATTATTTAAATTTCAGTTTAAAAAGTACCTACTGTACACTGAACTTGACCCCTTGACCTTTATTAATTAATTTTTGTTAAAAAAAAACATTGTTATCAACAAATTACATATTTTATTTTCAAATGCTAGTAGCTAGTGTACAGGTAAGTTTTCAATGTGTATTTTAATCAACAATAAAAAAGATATCTTTTCATCAATTTAACAATTTTTAATATACTTGTGATAATCATAATATAGAGTATTTATCTTGCTAATTTGTAGCCATCATTTTACAATTATTTTGTTTTCTAAGATCAAGATTTGGAATTGGGTGATTAAAATTTAAAATAACACAATTAAGGTTGTAATAATAAAAAAAATGTCAGTATGATAATAATCATTATAATATTTTTACATATAATAATTAGCGAAAAAACCGCTTTGTAAATTATGTCAGTCTAAAATACATTATAAAAATCTAATTTATTAAAAAATATATATTATCTTAAATTTACATAAGTATATAATATATATACTTAAAAAAAAGAATCAATTAATTATAATCTATAATAATAGCCATTAATGTTATTTTTTAAAATAAAAATATATCGAACTCGTATCACAATAATAATTTCATAAGGTTAATTCGATTTAAGTATCTCCAAAGGTAAAAAAAATATAAAAAAAAACAAAAAAATAATTAAACTAGAGATCTATCTCAACAACAATTATTTTTATTTTACTAACCAATTTATGTCTATTGATACAATTTATAATAGTATAAATAGGTAAAATAAATATAGTATTTATTGAGCAATACAATTCCAAATGGTTCATCTACACCGTATGTTACATATACAAAATATTATTGAAAAATTTATTCAGCGAAGGAATGTTAAAACGGCTGAGGTTTTGATACTTGATTCGTAAAGACAAGAATTCAAAAAGAAACTAAAATATTTTATGTCCTGTTATGTGATCTTAATTTAAAAAAAAATAATGGCCATGAGCCAAATAATTTTGTTTGCACTCTACATATAATATTATACAGAGTAATAGTTCAATATTTAACATCAAAAATAGAAAAAAATTTGAAAAAAAAAACAATGAATATTTTTTTTTATATTTGTTCCGAGCGTTGCTTCAAAGTCAATAAAAACTATTGTTTTTGCCAAACGCACTGTGAATCGCATGTATTTTCGTGTGAATTAATAAAATTTTGATTAACACTAAAATACACGGTACCTAGTATAATATTATATTCTGAAAAAACCAGCCCGTGCCGCACTCGGACCGATTGGAAAACTAAACACCTACGTTGGTATTATTATTATTATAATTATTTTGATTTTAAACGTTGTATTCCATTAACAAGAGTTGACATTATTAATAAAACCAAGTACGATCATTTTAAAACCACAATAAAAATACTGAGTTGGCATTATCCATCGACAAAATTCTAAATCAATAACGCAAACTATTGTAGTTCAATGATGTGATATAGAATACTGGATTTGAGTTGTCTAAGTCGTTACACGGTTTAAGAGTTCACCGAAGTAAACGCGTAATATTGATGTAATAATATAAACAATGATTGGTCGTTACTCGTGAGTAAGGTGGAAAAAAAAACGTTTAACTACCCGACGCACGACAACCAACGGTCGCCGTCGTAGTTGTTGTATGTTTTTTGTTGTTGTTGCAGTTGTCGTATAGTCTGTTTTCGGTGTGGGTCGACCATAAAACCCGTCACTGAAACGAACTTCACGCTGATTGAAACTGATGAAATCACGTCATGTGATGTATGATGTCGGACACGCTCGTGGACACGCCGATGACGAACGCGAATATGGCGATGAGGATAATCAGCAGGTTGCGCAGGCAGAACAAACCGAACCGGAAGTTTCCTTCGTCCTTATAGACGTCGGAGAACGTCAGGAAGCTGACGATGGCTGGTAACGCGATACCCACGGAAGACAAACAAAACGCACCGATCAGCGAGATCAAGTGCTCCAAGTTCGGTATGGCGATGGCGAAGAAAACTGTAAGGAAGGAGAAACAAAATATACAAATTAATTCAAGTCAAGTCTCGGTAACGCAAGGTGAGTAAAGGGGAGGGCAAGCCATTGGTCGCGGGGACACGTTTAACCATTCATCGATATTAACTCGGAATGGTTAAAGTCTTCTGGCAAAACCCTTTCCTCCTGTGAAGATTACTTACATGTGATGATCACGATGGACGTGCGAAGTGCGTACTCCCAGCAGATCCTGTGCTCATTCTTTTCCATCTTCTGTTCCATTCCCTTCCAGATGATGTCGAACGCCACGTAGTTGGACAGAGCGTAAGTAATGTATATGGAAATCGACAGAAGGAGTTTGACGACTTGAGCGAGGCTGTAATCATAATTACGATTGATATTAATTTACACGTCGGTCGGTCGGTCTTTAATCACTTCAATATTTCGATATTATCATATTATGATGTGTCTAAATGTCTGATATTATATAGTGTTTGGAAATTCCACTTGGAAATTATATTATTAAATGGTTCAAGTTCGATGAGTAAAAACCGAAAACTCGAAAGTTCACTTCTTTTATAGAAACACGTTCTTAAACAAATAAACTGCACGTTAATCTAACAGTTCATTAAACTAATTATTATTTTATAAATGTAATGGTAATAGCATACCTTATCTACGAATATCTTAGTAGTTTAGGTATAAATGATTTTAAAAAAAGTTGTTTTTTGTGTATGTGTTATAACTAAATCTTTTATCATAATAACATAATATACAATATTGTCAAATAGATTATCTATTATAATACAATGAATTATCAAATACAATCCCTTTACTCGTATATTTAATATAAAGATAATATGTAATTTGGTAGGTACTTCATTTATGCCCTATAAATGAAGTACCAACCAAATTTATTAAAGCTAAATTAAAACATACAATCAATATCTAAAAAAAATATTTTAAAATATTTCTTTTAGAGAGAAATGTAATACTTTGAAATTTAAGCATTTTGGTCAAAATCATTCCCTCTCTACACTAGCTAATTGTAAAATAAAATAAATTTCCAATATAAATGATATTATACCGAATATAAGTCTTAACATGCATACAATTAATATAAAATTTAGTAGCCCGCATTGAACGCATATATTCTGTACCACGAATTTTTTTTATCATTGTGTAAAAATTTAGAACAATTTTTTAGAAAATATTGTATGATAATAAATTGTTTGATACCACTTTATATATATATACACACGAAGATAACATATTGATATAGTAATAACGCACGTTTTTTCCAAACACTATATAAATAGGGCAGAGCAATATTTTATTGCAAACAACACCAGTGCACCACTTAGACTATACTATTATTATGTCTTTGTTGTCTATATACTTACACTTCGGTCTGGGGCATGTCGAGTGTGATGCTGCCGGTGGTCTTATCTCCGTATTTTAGGTAGCCGAGTAATCCGACAACTGTGTACAGGACGGAGATGGGCAACATGGATGCGTTAAGCACGCCGAACACACTACCAAATTTCTTGGGGTTCTTCATTTCGTTTTCAAGCGGCAAGACCTGTACGAAGAAACCAAAAGTTCAATTACAAGGAACGTATAATCGCTAACGAGGTTATAAGGTAAGCAATAGAGAAAAAGTCATTGAATTTTGTTTGTCAAGTCAGGGAACACTTAGAACTATATAAGTAATAGGTAGGTAAATAGAAGTTAACTTTTTTTTTTTATTAAACATAAATAATTACAATTGTATACAGAATTGTGTACAATGAATATTTTTTAATTTTGATTTTGTGTAAATTCGACAGGAGTACATTACGGGAGTTACTGAATGTGTGGCACTGGCACACTGACACTTTATTATTAAATTAGAAATTCTCTAGGTCAGGTCTATTTTAGGCGTCTCCGGGAATTTTCAGGAACTGTGTGGGATAAAAGTGGATTAATTAACGGATGTTTTGACGATGGGTTAACTTTAAAAGTAAATTAACTGTAGTAGGTGAGATTTGTTTAATTGAATTGGCGTCGAAAATTCGAGATTGTTTTATTCTTGATTAAGCAAGTATCAGAGACGGTTTGACGAAGGGAAATTAACAGAAAGGCCTGAATTTATTTTTTATAGATTAAGAGTTTGCTGCCAGTGGATATTTTGGATGATGATAGAAGTGGACGGAGCAGGTGGAAGCGTCTATCGAGTAGTTAATTAAAAATAATAGTCAACTGTTTTACCGAAAATTAATTATCCTATCTGTTTAATGCACACTATAATATAATATGAATATAGCGGCCAGGCAAATACACGGGTAAATAATTAATAAAACATTATATACTCAATAATTAAATCGAGAAATATTTATTGGTTTGATATCGTTTGAAACGGCGGTATATACAGCGTGATAAAAAAATCTACTAATATTTTAGTTAAGTTGAATTTTTAACGTCCGACTTTGCAAGTCATAATGTAAATATTGACATATAATATTATAAGTAAATATATTATTGCGGTTTGAACACTCACCATGCCGATGGCTTCCATGGCGAAAAGCACAGTACCGAAGAACAGCGGTATGCTTTTGACGGTGCCGACTGGTTCGCGGTCGACAAACGACGGTGCTTCCCGGAAAATGTAGTAGAAAATCAGTGTAAAACTCACGATGGTCAGGCAAGTGGCTATCGAGGAAAACGGCGCCAGGAGTTTTAGATTCCTTATCCAAGAGATCAATATTAGCGGGATCAATATGTACACCATGTACATCCGCACGTCCGTGTTGCCGCCGAGGTAGGCGTCACCGACCTGTAAAATTTTCAAAAAAAAAAACAGTTGTCAATATATGTCAGTCTCCCTAAAGACCGCAGCAGGATGGCCGCTCCAACTTACCACTTTGAGATTGCTAGCTATAAACACCACGTAAATACAACTGGAACCGATTTGGTACAGGACTAGGAACATGTTTGTCATCATTCTGAAACGGGACAACGAGTGTTAGAAAGGGAGTCGTTAAAGGGTGGTTTATCCGACAACTGTCTGAAAAATATTATTGCAGTGGCCCTTACCTGGCGTAAGGAGCCAATACCCTGGTGAACTTGGGGCCCTCTTCAAAAGCCGCCGCCACGGTACCCGGGTACGTGAGGCTGGGCACTTTTCTCTTGATGCACAGCTCGTGCGATGCGGTTATCTATAAGCAACAACAAATAACGGTTATAATCTTGATAAATAATAACAATAAATGTCGTGTACGATCCAAACGAGCTCATTATTGTTATAATTAATATTATTTTTCACACTTACCAGCAGATGTATCGTGTATGTACACAGTATTCCGATGATGATCGTACCCAACGTGCCCACCACGTAACCGGCGTTTTTGAACGCGCTGGGCATGGCCAGAATTCCCGTGCCCAGGCTGGCCTTTAGGAGATGTATCAGAGTGTCGAAATATCTATATTTTATAATAGACGAGATTAAAAATAGCAACAATATTCAACAATATCTACTGCTATAATTTGACACGATATTGTGTGTTATTGTTGTACTCACGTTGTGGGGTGTTTTACGTCGCGGTGTTGGTACGGATTGTAAAAGTTCTGTTTCTCGTTCAGCTGCTGGGCGGTGTCACCCTTCATGTTGATGCCGACACACTTGTTGTTGAGGCTGTCCATGTTAATACTGTAACAGAAAACGAAATATTATATTAGTCGTCGTCGGCCATTTATACGGACAATCACTGTTTATGCAATGCAGAAATAAACATATATCTTGTATAGGTATATGGCTGTATGGCTATATAATAATTATTTATAAATAGTGTATTATGTACAATTCATCAAACACATTAGTACATTACACTCGTCTCGGAGCTTTTATATAAACAGACGGAGATAAACATCGATTCCGTGCAGTGCAGTGCACTTGATAAAACGTAACGACTCGAACGTCCATTGAGTATTCCTAATATGTACGAGTGCGCCACAAATCTAAATCGTTTCGAGTTCAGTAAAGTTTAATCCCCCGGTCCTTCCTATAATATTTTATGTATGTAGAGAAATCTGCAAACACTTCAATCTCGTATACGAACTTCAACTATATCGTTACATATATTATATAGATATTCTCGTTCGTTTCGTGTGAAGCACGTGATGTTTAAGCCCGAAAGAGATGAACAAACTTTATGTTACGTCATATCGTAGAATTCACAGCGTTTATTATTTATTAAGGTTGTTACACATCTAGCGTTTTAGACGCAGCGTTCAGGTTAGGTTAGGTTAGGTTGGTTCTATGAAATAATTAATATTAAAACACACAAGAATCATTTTGTATATTTTTTATTATTGTGTTATGTTATACAAACTTACTTATGTTCCAAATACTTTCTTCTTTATTCACTTCTATTATAAAGAATTCTGTATCAAACATTTTGCCTAATATACTTAGGTCTTTTCACTAATTAAAAAAAATGTAATTTAAACTGAAAAATATATGGCCAGTATGCGTTGTGTCGTAATGATGATACATTGACGAATGGAATAAATATATTGAAACGCTTCAAAACGCGACTTCGAAGACGCACAGTGTGAATGATAACATGGAAAATACTATGTTTAAATTTAGATATTGCCGCGTACAAAACGCTAAAATTTAAACCAGCGCGTTTCGATGCGTTCGTACTCGTTCGGACGCGCGGTTTTTCCCCTGGTGTGAATATGGCCATATGTAGACGCATGTTTAATTTTAAGCGTTCGAACGCCGCGTCCTTAATATTGTATAATACACTACGATATAGTATCCTGATTTATGGGGTTACGTTGAATGGATTGCCGCTCAACTTGCGATAGGTACATGCATATTTGCGCAAATCGATCGTTCAATTTTTCACGAGGAGTGCTCTGTCGAACAACGAATCTTATTATGTATGCAACATGTGTTGTACTTTAATAGTATAATCAAGTTAATATAAGCAACGAGAATGATTACGCCATTGATTGGTGCCGGAATATGATATATGTATTCTAATAATACGTGAGATGAAATTAAAAATTAAAACGATCGTTTTAATTAAAAAAAAAAACGCATTACTAACGATTTAACGATAAGAATACAAAAATCAGAATGATAAGAAACAATAGGAAAACATTGATCGATTAATCAATCAATCATTAATGTATACCTTCATAAAAGAGAATTAGATAATTTAATCATTATGCATATACCCGACATAATAGAATACCACCCGACTTAATATTAATTTCGTTAATATTATCAAATATTAATAGGTCAAGACCGTCTATCCGTATATTTTTCGAGAAACAACGAGTTACTGTGTATAATTTAACCTCCGTGAATCGATAGTTTCCAATGATTTAAATTTTTTTTGCTCGTATGTACGTAGAATATATTATTAATTATTATCTATTACATATTATGAGCAATTATAAATACAGTTTATTTAGGTTTGCAATAACTATGAAAAATTAACCCAAAGAGGACTTTTTTGATTTATTTTTATAGAGTTAATAATATAGTGTGGAGCCTGACATCGACTGTGGTGGACACTCGTCCTGTAGTACATTCATCGATAAGTAAAATAATTTATATAACGTACAGGTTTATAATATTATGTCTATAGGTTCATAGGCTGTAACAAATTATAAGTATAATATGTATATATTTATGGTTTTAAATGCGGCCAAAGTGTAAAACGATGTTTCTTGTTTGTAATAAAACCGCTAGGTACGATATTATAATATGGTTATCATATTGACATATTGTCAGCAAATATTATAATATTATTAAATACACAAAAAATACAATCGTACAAAGCTGTACCATTTTCGAAAGAAAAATTTAGTAAAAAACTAGAACTGTTAATTGTGCGATAGGGGTACATCATAATGTATGAATTCAGAACATGTCTGATTTTAATTTTAAACACACGTCACAGATATATACGTATTACGATATGCCGATTTATATTCGTATATACGTAAGAATGTGGTGCTATTGTTTGAACTGCTCTAAACTATGTAAGTAAAAACAAAATCGGTTCGTCATCCGGCGGAAGGTTTTTCGTGAAAACATATTATAATCGTCTGAACTTTGAAACCGGTAGTGTAATGGTTAATGTTTATGTATTTACAGTTCCCCTCACCAATGTGGGCATAAATATAGGTATACGTCGTACATAATATAATATTATAATATAGAGAGGAGCATCGCATAGCTGATTAAAGTATGATATTACGTCCGGCCTACGTCTCGAAATAATTCGACTCAGCAGCAGTAACCTACTCTCACAACCGGATATAATAACAAAATGGTAAAACACAAAAACCATGTTGAATCGACTAGAGTAGAAAACCCTAAAATAAAGGGCCTATATCAAATATACAGTAAAATTTCGATAACACGAATTTTTCTTTAAAGTTGTGTTTGGGGTAGACAGTAGGTACATGAAACGACAAATACAGAAGTCAAATTTATTTTTAATCCTATTGAGATTCCAGTTACCGAGACTATGCTGTATGTACATTTTGATATTGTAAGGTATACATCACAAAACACAAAAAATCTCTAAAAAAGGGCTCGTGTGATGCTGTCGTTTAGGGTACCTCTAGATATTATGACAAACTCACCACGTGTTTCCGTTGACAGGTTTTCCGTTGATGTCCAACTCAGATCTCAGCATCCCTTGGTTATCGTAACAGTCTGCCGCTGCCATTTTCTGTAACGATAAAAACAGACGGTCATCAGTTTTTGCTTGTTACACAATATAATGAATATACAAAAAAACCGTTTGGCGGTATGCAATAAAAAAAAGAGAATTTGTCATTGCGCGCAATTATCCTACGTTTTTTCTCCCCTCCCCTCCTCCAGTGATAGAATTAGAATATAAAGGCAACTCGGCGACGTTATGACAATAATAATAATAAGGTACGATTGTGATAACCTCCGTGCACCGGCGGCCATTTATCGGACTGGGATTTAACCGTCGAGCGTTGAACGACGATAGCTGCAGCAACAGCTGCGGCTGCATGCAATGGCGGGTGGTGAGTACGTATAATGTGATGTAAGTACATCATATTAATAAATTATATTATAAATTAAAATATCGGCAATTTTGTCGTCTGGCCTGGGCTAAGTGCTCGAATTATTCGTAAGAACGATAGCAACGGACCTACAATTTGTATGAAGTTATCTCTGAGCGTTCTATATTATCTGTGCCACGCGGTACCTTTTGCAGAAGAGCACCATTTGTAACTCGAGCCGCGCAAACACATATTATTATTGTGCGTGACGGCGAGCGCACGCGCGACCGAAGTATTTTTATTTCGTTTTACGACAAAATAGCTATGCGGTACGTCTTCGTGACGTATTTGATTTTCTGCTCTTTTTATGGGTGCCAAAAAACATATCTGCCACAGATATTATAATCCGACACTAATATAATTGGGCGACATTATATATATTTACTGCGGTCGGTCGGTCGGCCGACGAAACGTCCAGAAGTCACGGCATATAATAACGTGATAGACGCAATAAGAAACCGAATTCGATATAAGATCCTATACTATAATATTTGTTATATTTTGACGACGTGAATCCCGCCGCTGATCTCACTTATGAGGTATTATGCGAATAGTTGTAACATCTTATAATAGCTAAAAAAAAGCTCGATAGCCTAAGTCGAACGGAAAAAACACATCATGTTATTATTTGATGTTATTCATCACACCTGTTGAATGGTGCAGCTTTCAAAACGGGCCTTAGTCATTCTTAGCCTATATGTTCGTCAAAATTGAATTCTTTCTTCATTTTTTTTAATAATAATATTATACATACAGTTATAAGTTATAATTTTTCCCGTACTCCAGACACGCCGAAAGTGCCACAAGTTTTAGTCAGAAAAAACACGTAAATTATTATCGTTGTTAATGGCACGCGAATATAAAATTATTATTATTATTGCGGACTACCGTCTATGGTTGCGGGATCGTATATTAAAATATTATAGTAACCGCTACCCGAGCGTCGACTGTAGGTACTTAATCGTAAATTATAATTTATAATGCGTGTACATACAGGTGTCGGTCGCGGATCGAGCGTGGGTATAATAAACGATGCTCATAAATAATGTCTCCGAATTATGATAATATTGCGGTTATGAAAAAACGTACGTACGAATGTTTTTTCTCTGTTCGAATAGAACAATAGGTTCTCGGCCGTTTCCGTTCTGTTCGCATTGGTGTGTATTTTAATTTCGTTAGATTGTCACGAGAGCCAAAACGGTAATTATATAGGTAAATATGGGTATATACTGTAATGAACCACAATAATATTACATGAGTGATCAAAATGTTTTCGGTCTCGGACTTTAATGCACTTTTTATCATTTAAATTTTGATTTGCTTAATACTAATATTGCAAGTTTTTACCCTGGTTATAATTATCATAGTCGGTTAATTTCAAATTCAATTCCTAGTAACTTCATATTATAGGTACCATAGGTACTGCAGAGGTTATAATTTGAAAGCGTTAAGCTACAGAAAAGAGTTCTTTGACCATCGCGAGATCGCAACTTAAACGTTGGCGTGCAAGTAAATAATATTATTATAGTCGGATAATTACACGACGGGTTCAAACGGCGCCAATAACGTTTAAAATAATAATGTGTTGTCTCGCAGTTCATTGAATTTGTCCACAAGAGATTAAACCAGAACTCGTAGTGTATGCAAGCCACGATGCATCTCTTAAATTCGAGATGTTGGCAGGATTGGGAATAATATAGGTAATATAAACATCCCTTTACTATGGGTGGTCAGATCGGTGTCAGTTTCCACGAGTACCTGTACCTATAATCTATATATGTGTCGTCCGGAGGGAATGTTTGGTGTGTGTGTGTGTGGTTGAGGGGTGGAAATTGTTTGTGTTTATATAATATTATTTTAACCCGTTGACCTCTTTTGTACGACTTCCTCCGCTAGCAGTTGTAGTTGGGAGTCTTTAACATTACTACTTACTAGCCGTCACATGATTTATCAGGATTCAATATTTTCAGAAATCTATGCACCGTAGGCAAATTAAATACAAACAAAAGATGCGTTTCCCACCTTCCGCTTTAAATTGTTTCATATTATGCGATCAAGGTCGTTTGCATTTTTATTATTATAATTTTTTTTTGGCACGCATCGCGTCGACCGCGGAGTAAAGGACGCGGCTGCAGAAGTACAATAATATTATAAACCTTCAATACACACGCGACCTCTAAATACCTACCAATAAATAATCGTCAACAACAGCTATAAAAACTTTTAGAAAAAACCGCATAATCGTACGAACGCGACTCGAAAGCCGCAATGCCGGATAGTTTATTAGGTATATAGGTTCGGACTGAATCTATGTCTCAACCTAGTCTCCACGTCTCGTGCTGTATCGCCCACCCGTCGCTATATTTCTTAACGTTTGAACCTACGCCACTACACCGAGACTATTAAAAGGCGTGTCTAAATAATATCATGCTAGCTGCAGTTATAGTGGCCCCAGATTTGAGGAAATTAAAAAAATTACTCCTCGGGCCGTTTGATCGGGTTTATATATTTTTTTAATAGTCTGCAGCATTAGTTATCCACAATAATTATTATGAATAACCGACTGGACATCTACGTAGGTTCGGTGCGCCACTGTGATAATATTATTCGTGTAATACGCGCTTAATAATATTGCTGCAAGCTGAAACTCACTTGTTTGGAGAAGTGTTGTTCTGGTTTCGCCGTGGAAGGGTAATTATTGAAGTTCCGCGTCATGCTGTCTGTCATTTCTACCGTCTTGGGCTGCGTGTATGCACACTGAAACGAAAAACAAACAACACACGTCGTCCATCAGTTGAATGTTATATTGTTATAAACAGTTTGATAAAATAAAAAATAAAACCGATTTCCGTACATTTCTGCAAGAGTAGTAAGATAGTCGCGAGGGGTTGGGTTGAGGAGGGAGAGACGAGTCAAATTTTCAGTGTTTGGGGAACGACGAGTCGACAGTGGCACGCGGGTGCAGTCTTTTTTTTTGGGGGGCGAGCTGCAGCAGTGACCACTGTGATGAATGTCCGAGTGCGGCGGAACGTTCTGTACGACTGCCGATCGGAGTGGAGGCGAAAACGGCGCGCGTCCGACAATCGTAATTCGATAAAGGCCGACGAATCTTATCGCACTGAAACACGATACGGGTACATGTGCGTGTTGCCCCGGTGCCCCACCTAATGCACCTCGTTACTGGCTGCGAATTAAAAAAGCTGTTGTTGTTGAGTACCCCTGCCTTCGTGGTACACGGTAATATATTATTATGTGTAAGCCTAAGTACGTTTAACTCTCTTGGGCGTCATAGGCTTTTCGTACGGTCACTGGTCAGCGTTATCGGGGGGCGCAGAACCTCTATAATACTTCTAATAATATTAAGGCTGGCGATTGATTTCGAATCACATCACATCATCATCATAATTATCATCATCATCATCATCATCATCATCATCATCATCATCATCATCATCATCATCATCATCATCATCATCATAGCCAGCAACACGACAGAGTCCAATGTATCATTTCGGCGTATGCCTATTCACGCTATACAGTGTTATTGAAACAGGTATAATGTACGTTTTGAAAGAGAAAGGACGATTCATAAAATATTAGATAAAAATATATAATATATTATTATAATTAATGATTGTTGGTCCATGCGCGAACCTCTCATACGCGATAAAGAACCAATAATAATTAAGCTATCGATAGGAATAACCCTGTAAACCGCGGAGATTCAGTCATATATAAATAAAATATTATAAATTATTATACACACTGTTTTCGATTGCGTGTAAGTGAAAAAAAAATTATAATATCATGATAAAATAACAGTATAACTTACGCTACGAAAAATATAAAATAGCCAGAAAAACAGCACCACTAACGAGTATAATTTTAGTTTGCAATTTTTTTCCTCACATCTATGGACAATGCTACGATTACGACAGTGATGATGATGATAATAATAGCAGCTTTAAAAAAAAAAAAGCCCGGCTATTTACATACTGGTCTGTCACGCTCGGCCGCCGATATTCGTAGAATATAACTAATTGTTAAACATTTTTTTACAAAGAAATATTGTGCCTCTAATAAAAACCCGTATGGAGGAAGCTCAAAACTATTCATACTCGTATCGTGCGCACTAAAGACCGTACACAGGTGGTCGCAGTGCAGTCCGAAATCGTTACAACTTACAATAACTAATAAGTATTTATGCCACGATGTTGATGGAAATCATCACGATAAATATGTATATAGGTACACTATATTATAGGCATTGGACTAATACTATATATAGACGACAGATGTTTAGGGAATTAAAATAATATTATCAGTAGTAATTAAATCATTAATACTATTATAAATTATTATAATTGCGGAATATTAAGATGACGGCGGTAAACAATTATTATTATAAATCGTAATTTATTTTCGTTCTGGATGAGAAGTTATACGGGGACTTTTCAGAGAGGTAGTGAAACAACAGTATATAGTGCCGTGACCACGATTTCTTTTGTTGGCGGTCACACTAAAATAATATAATATTGTATTATTACCACTATTATAGTATTATATGTATAGATGACGACGCCGAAGAGTTACTTGGACAACCACATTATAATATGTGTGTAGGCTAAATTATAATATTATTACTGTAAAATCGCGATCGAAACCGTAGTAAATGAAAAAAAAAAAGTAAGGCACACCAAGTCCACATCGACGGCACGCGGCGGGCAGAATGGCCACAGGTTCTCTGCAGCTTATGTTTTCCGACCGGTATGAACCTTGGCCGATTCGCGAGATCGAATCCAACCGATTATGTCGTTGTCGGCAAAAAAACGTTATTTTTTTTTATAATTTCTTAACAATAATAGACGACAGTATGATAATTGTTTCGTAATCGCAACCTAACAAAAACCACACGATCTGTGCGCGTGCGGTTAACCCGAAGTCATGCCATTACCATTTCCCCCGAGACCGTTGTCAGTTTTCTCGCGGATCGTAATGATTGAACGAAAGCTACTGTACCGTAGGCGGAAATCCATTACAATTTCATTGGGGGAGGGGGACGGGGCTAACATTTTTAACACCGATGTGATCGGGGAGGGAGGGTAGGGCTAACCTCGATAGCTAAAAGGCTGTCCATTTTTTGGAAGGCTAATGGGACCTAACCCTCGATTTCCTCAAATGAGCTGTACATAACAATAAAACGGGATGCACGTCTGCATTTTTTTCAAACCATGTAAATATTAATACAATTTAGTCTCTTCGTAGGCTCAGCAGCACGATGGATATAGCTGCAGATGATGTGGACGTAAATAATACTAATAATATACCATATTGTATGTGAAGGTGGTGTGTGGGTGGGTACTGGATACGCGTTTTTATATAAATATTTTCGGATGACCTTGACGGTCCGCGATCGTAGATAGGTCTAAGAGAAGAAAAACGTTAATAGCGGCGCGAACACGTCTTCTTTGTATCGTACCTGCCTACGTGCGACCAGAAGATTAAAAAGGTAATAATATCACAATAAATCGCGTTTCCGGAAAAAAGAAAACGTGTTCAAAACGGACACTTTGGCTGCACATGATTTCAGCGGAATCGGGCATTGCGGGGTTTTCGTAAAACACTAAGTCGATGAAAAAAAAGTGTACAAAAGGCGTTCGTGGGCGTGTTGCGGAAAACTATCGGAGAAATTTCCAACGAAACGTTCGGTTTGTTGATTCAACAATTTCTGACTTTACGCCGACGCCGCAAATTATCGAAACACCTGTACCTAAGCCTCGAAAACCATTCTGGCTGTCACGATTGCCTTAAAGTTTTAATGTGAAAGAAGCGTATCGATCCGTGTGCGGTATGACACAAACGGCGTTAGTTTACCACAACAAATATTATAATAATGCCGATAGCAGGATAGGAGTGGTATATATACCCGAAACGACGTCGTTCTAATGATTTACGACGTAAACATTTCCCGAGCAATTATAATTTATATTCACGATGAAACAATTGATCCTATTGCATATGCACAATGTGTTAAACGAATGTCTATTTTTGCATTGCAAAAATAGATTGCCACGTCTGTTACGTAACAGTCTTTACCTACCCACCTACTTACCTACACCAACCTGTGGCTCTCCCGACTCCCGAGGCACGTCCTGCAGTATTGGCCGTATTGTATACAATTCGCGATATGATAAGAAATGACTTTTGAATATTTTTAATCGCTCGAATTTGTATAAATAAACCTCAAGGTTAGTAGTTCGATCATACAAATAATTAATGAATGTGTATAATGTATATATTATTCAAATTTAATTATAGCAATAACTCTCCAATACTCCTCTACGGGGCGGTTACTAAATATTATGGGCTATTAATATTTTGCAAACATGATTATTTAATCTGGCAAATAATCATTAAATCGCAATTTGCGAACATGCTCCGGTGCTAAATATACACATTATCCACAGGTAGTTTCTAACTATATAAGGAAAATTAAAAACAAGATCTGAGCCTATAAAGTCTCGTGCATCATATTATTATATATTTTATATTATAATATAAATAATACATCTTGAAAAAGTTAAATATTATAATGTTATCTGCAGTTATCACCCATCACTCCTCATTCAATGATACCCCGTGGAATTAGAAAGAAGACTAGACACAACAACGGCACCGGGAGATAGGGAAAGGTTATTTTTTGAAAAATAAACAAGGCGAGCGATGACACCACCTCGAACTTGTGACCTCCAAATTCTTCCACGTGACATGGTTAAGAGCTTCTCAACGGGACCTCGGGGATTGCGCCAACTCATTATTTTGGTGCTTTTTTTTATCGCAATCATAAAATACGTACGAGTAGGCCGTGCATGTGCCGTTTAATGTAAAAAAAAAATTGTTGTAGAGATCCGTCTTTATATCGACCTTCGCAAAAGCCCGGCGGGGAGCGTTTTCAGCTCGAACGCTGTTGTGTCGAGATGACGATTTTATTCTATTTTACACGCGTAGGCCCAATGATGAAATTATTTGAATACCGCTATGTGGAGCCGGCTCTGTTTGATTCGATGGGACAACGGTTTTTTTTTCGCACAGAAATAAAAATATACGCCTGGACCGGATCCAACCCACGCTTGCCACCGCCACCGCCTCGATACAAACAAGTGTACAGTTTAATACATTTTATTATAATAATATTTTACACAACGAAATAATATAATCGTATCGTGTCCCGCGAGATAACGCCACACAGTGCCGACCATACATATTGTGCGCTGTGTGGCTTGGAAGTGATAGAAAAATCTATTGATTAAACATTGAAAGGTTATAAAAAAAAAACATACAAAAAACGATCCTCGATTGCGTAACGCACAGAGTCGGAAAGTGCTGCTCAACAAGTAGTTGACGAGTTGACATTTTTATAGTTTAGTTGTTTGGTTATTATTTGTAATTTTTTTAGATTCCTATACAACGGTAATTTTGGGGCGTTAAAAGTTCTACTTCGGGGACTCGGGAATCGGTGTTTCGATAATCGATTACCGGTTAGGTAATATAAATATAATAATAATAATAATAATAATAATAATAATAATAATAACAATACAATTTGAATTATGTCTTAGCGTTTGTACCCGTTTGTCAACAATGTATTTATAATGTATTCATTATGTTATTTTTGGACATTTATTGTATATTTTATTGTTGGTGCACAATCATTTGTAGAGTGAATTTATTCAACTCGAATTAACGACCGCTGTTAC